AGAAAATTTATTGAAATATAAATTCCTTAGCAGATAAATATTTAGTCTTTTAAGACGGAATAACAAAATTGCAGCTTGCATTTTGAACAGTAGCTGCATGTACAGAACTTAAAAAGAAATCACAATGTCTAGAGGGATTTGTTTCAAAATGAGAGACTTTTAGATTGTCTATAATACAACATCAGATTTATTTTTTCATTATTAAAAAGAACAGTAGGTTCTAGGAAGAATTTACAAGCAAGGACTATTTATGTACAAACTGCAGTATTTCTTCAGGCAAAAAGATCATCTCCTATTATATAGAGCATGCAAGTTTTACAATAAATGCAATTTGTTATCATATATAACCACTACTGAGAGGTGATAATCCGGTGGCTGATTTGAAAGGATTTTCATGTTCATATTTAGGGGTTTGTTTGTTTGTTTGTTTTTTCTCCCTGCTAACTCTGACAAGTCAAGAAATCTTTCTTGTTTCACAGCTGTTTTCTGGGTGTAAATTTTGATCCAGAGGAAACCTAATTAGCTCCAGCAGAAATGTGACTAATGAATGGCTTTAGCTTTCGACTTGACAGTGTAATAGTAGAGTAGTGGTGGCCCCATGGTGGGAACTGTTTTTTTCCTTCAGAGCCCCAAATTCTGGCTCTGACTCTGTCTAGTGAAAAAGTGTGGAATCTATGGCACCCAACTTCCAATTTGGAGATGAAGTATTCTTCTACAAGTAATTCCAGGCTCCCTCAGAATAAACGCCTTATGTGATGGTAGCAGTTTTGCCTTTGATTAGCTGACTCAAAAAACTGGTAGATATTGCCACATAATTACACAGCCCCACAGTTGGGCATGCTTCTATTCAAGTTCAAAGCATTTTGTAGCTTGATCTAACGCATGTAAATGATGCTCAGCAAATAGAGAACTAAAACTCAGCAGCTGTCTCCTTTGTGCATCCATTTTCAATAATTCACTGGGTATCCTATGACTTTTTAATTGGGAGACTGGTGATGCTAGTTTTGCAACTCCTAAATTCAGTATGATCAAAACAAAAGCTTTTGTGTTCATAAATGTGAGAATAGTAAAGCCAATCCCGCTTACATCAGTATGAAGTAAACCCTAGTGGTATGAAATTTAATGATAACTATTAGCATTTTATATGTTTTTACTGTGAGGAGCGCAGACAGCTTATAGACTTTAAAGAATCATTCTTTACTGTATCTCTCTGAGCACCAAGATAGTCTCCTTTTCAAAGGGAATTGGAGCTCAGAGTAAACACCATTTAAAAAGTGTCTCCTCGGGGTAGAAATTGCAGTGTAGTTAATGTTTGCCTAGAAATAGGAACGTATGTGAACAAACCTTTTCTTCTGGTCAGTGCTTTTTGCTCCTTGATTTAGGTGTGTGTTGTTTTCAGTGTCTGTATGAAACTGTGTCTGCAGATCCTGTGGCTGGCTCTACGCATTTGCATTTACATAGTTGCATAATACAGAGTTAGAATTGGAAGTCAGGTAGGTCAGGAGGGCTCTCCAGAGAGCATCTACTCCAGCCTCCCACTTGAAGCAGATGCTGTTAGAGCAGGTTGCTCAGGGCCTTGTTCAGGCAAGGCTTGAACTTCTTCAGTTACGAGAGCTCCACAACTTTTCCGGACAGCCCATTCCTGTGTTTGACAACCCTCTTAGTGTTTTTTTGGTTTGTTTTTTTGTTTTTGTTTTTGGTTTTTTTTTAATTTCCTTTTTAACAAGTGTGAATTTCTTATTTTCCAACTTGTGACCATGGCTTCCACAAGATTCAGGCTCCATCTTTTCATACACTCCCACTACATAGATACCCACTTAACCTCTTCTGAAGTCTGAATGGACTCAGCTCTCCGTCTGTCCTGGGCTCCAGTCACCTGCTCATATCTGTGGCTTTCCACCAGTCTCACCCAGGATGTCAGTGCCTTGTACTGGGGAGCCAAAACTGGGCACAGTGCTGCACTTGTGGTCTCACAAGTGCTAAACAGAGGGAAATTACCACTTCCCTGAACCTGCCGTCTATGATGTTGCTAATAAAGCCCAGCGTGGGGTGAGCTTTCTTCACCTCAAGGGCACACTTCTAACTTACGTTCAACTTGCTTTCCACCAGTACCACAGGTGTTATTCTATAGAGCTGTTTCATAGCCAGTTGGCCTCCAGCCTGTACTGTTGCACAGGGATATTCCATTGCAGGTGCAGGACTTTACATTTGTGTTTGAACTTCATTTTTTCCAGCCTGTCAAGGCCCTTATGAGGAGCAGCCCCACCATCTGGTGTAAAAACTGCTCCTCCCAAGCAGGTGTCTCCCACACTCTCTGGGAGTGTACTCTATCCCATCATCAAGGTTGTTAATTAAATTACTCCATTATTCTCTGCAAATGTAGATGCAGAATCTCTCTGTCTTGCTCTCTGAAAGCTGGTGTGTAAAAGTCTCAGTGGTGCCTTGAGCTTCTGGATCCAACTTGGATGCTTTCCTTACTCCCTGCTGCTTCATCAAGTCCAGTGATCCCCTTGCAAGAAGTGACTCTGTTACTGCAAATAGTTTCTCCCTCTGAGCGGCATCAAATTTTATCCATTCAAAACACAGTGAAGAGTTTTGCAACATTTCAGAAGAGAAACCAAAACTAACTAAATGTGGGTGGCAGCAGCTGAGCAGATGTGCAGAGAGGGCGAGCGGGCTGCAGCCCTGTGCTGAGGCGCGTCTCTGCCGGCACTGGGAGTGCAGCATCGCCAGCCAAGAGCGAGTGCCTGGATCAGCAGCTGCAGTCCTGGCAAAAGCAGCAGCAGCAAAGTAAGCCTGAGATTCAGACTGTTACTCAAGGGAGGTGTGTATGACCATGTATGGCTGTCAGTTAGCCAGGGAGAGCTAAGGGATGCCAATGGATAAATAGTGTATGCTCTAAGGCATTTACTGAAAACATATCAACTTCCAGTGTATCTGATGAGAAATTGCATTTTTCAGACTATTTTTGCCAGCCTTCCAGTGAGCCAGTGGAGTTTTCCTCTCTGGCATTATTGTTAGTGTGTGAACTTGTGTTTCTTGTTATAACATTCAGATCTATTCTCTCCAAGCACAGGACATTTTGTTATTTTAGTCATGTGGTGCAGTAATTTATTATTAATTATGCTTTCATGGTCGAGCAATCATCTTAACTTCATTGCATTTATCCTTTGCCAACATGTAAATGGATTATTTGTAATGAAACAGCTATGGGTTGCTACTGAACGTGGATTTTGCAACTTCAGCCTGAGAAGGATAATTGCCCCACTGCACTCAGCCTTTGAAAAGGGATCGCCACGAGAGGTTTCAGGAAACGACAGATCTGTTCATTGCCTGCTGCAGAAAGAAAACATGTGTGTGGCTGTGGAAAATGGCATTGAATATTTTAGGAATTAACATTGCACAGAAAGGAGACACAAACTGCCAGTGTAAAGAAGCTTCACAGTTCCTGATAGACTACTCTTCATTCACCTTTCTCCATCTGTGCTTAAGGGCTCCGCAGATGTACCTGCAGAGAGCTGGGCAATGTCCCCTGCCATGTGTGGCCTCAGGTTGCTTCTCTGCTGTGATGTTTTACAGCAGCAAGAGGATGACCCACAGGAACTCGCTCGTACTTGGTCTTCTCCGTCTCTGTTTTATTTGCTTTTGTCTTTGTTCTGTCAGTGCTCTGGAAGAGAAATAATCTTGACAAGTTTGTGGGCTGCTTGGCATATTAAGTGTAAAGATTGTGAGTCCTACTGTAAAGCCAGTCGGAATAATTAGCGGTACAGCTCTCTTTGAACTCACATTTTCCCTCAGGCAGGTTTGTTCTTTTGGCTGTGTGGTAGCAGTGATATTGATGTAAGGTCAACTGCCACTGAGCTCCCAGCTCTGCTTCATCAGCTCATCACTGTGTTTTGGCAAGGCAGTGTGCTCCCTCCACACCTGTGCGGTGCAGGCTGTGACCGCGAAGAGGGAACCATTGCACTACAAAGAGCTGCGACCTATTTTCAGATTATGCAAGTCTCCAAGGCCCTTTTAATTCAGTGAGATTAATTCCCTTTTAGAAGGTGCTGAGGACAAACGAAATGCTTTATTGAGGACAAGTTTGAGGAACGCCAGCAGTCAGTGAACTAGGCCTGGATTTTACATTACACTGAATCATTACACAGATTCAATGATAAGAGTAAATTAAAACAGAGAAATGCATAGTATTGTTGCAAAAATTATCCTAGGAATTGATGTTTAATATTTGTTGAATATGTGTTAAACCACTTCTGTCATAGTGGAGCAATGCTTTTGGAGGCTGTTTCATACTGGGTGAGGATCTGGCTTTCTTTTCATGCTGTTGCAGTGCAGGCACCACGTACTGCAAGAGGCAGATAGGAGAGTTCTTGAGTGTTTCTTCCTAGCCATGGTTTACTCAGTGAGGAATAAACTCAGGACTGAAAGCCTGGAGTTCTTCCACAAAAGTTGGGATAACATTTTAGCCATCCTAAGAAGGCTTACTGAAATCCTCTATTTAAAACTCATGCTTTCAGTTTTTGAAGAATGTGTGGCATTTTTGTTCTGAGCATCTTAAAGATGTTCAGTCACACAGATGGGTCACAGTGCAGCATTTT